AGAATTCATGAGAAGGAGAGGTAAGGTTTGAAGAGGAGTTCTTTTTGTTGTTGTTGTTGTTTTGAGATAGAGTTTCACTCTTGTTGCCCAGGCTGGAGTGCAGTGTCGCAATCTTGGCTCACTGCAGCCGCCGCCTCCTGGGTTCAAGTGATTCTCCTGCCTCAGCGTCAGCTGACTAGCTGGGACTACAGGCATGCCATTCCCAGCTAATTTTGTATTTTAGAGGCAAGGTTTCACCATGTTGGTCAGGCTGGTCTTGAACTCCTGATCTCAGATGATCCGTCCGCCTCAGCCTCCAAAAGTGCTGGGATTGTAGGTGTAAGCCACTGCGCCTGGCCCAGATAGCAGTCTTGAGGACTGCTGATATCCATTAAATGTGACCTCAAGGTCTCTATTTTTGAATCTTGAGCAAACTCGGGCTCTATACTTAATCTAGGAGTTAAGTAAATGCCACTGACTGGCCAGTCTGACTGTGTAGTTGCTACTATGGGTGACAGGTTGTGTTTTGGAGGGAAGTCGACGCAGGGTAGGCATTATCACATAAAATAGTTGTGAATCCAAATACTTCATGGCTCCTGCAATCCTGAGGTTGTTTTGGTTGTGGTGGTAAAAATTGATCATGCCCGTTTCCCGGTCAGGAAACCAAAAAGAAAAAAATTGATAATGCCAAAACTGGATAGTTTTTTTTTTTTTTGTTTGTTTTTTAAGACAGAGTTTTCATTCTTGTCGCTCAGGCTAGAGTACAGTGGTGCAATCTCAGCTCACTGCAACCTCTGTCTCCCAGGTTCAAGTGATTCTCCTGTCTCAGCCTCCCGAGTAGCTGAGATTACAGGCATGTGCCACCATGCCCGGCTAATTTTGTATTTTTAGTAGAGACGGAGTTTCTCCATGTTGGCCAGGCTGGTCTTGAACTCTCGACCTCAGGTGATCCGCCTGCCTCGGCCTCCCAAAGTTCTGGGACTACAGGCATGAGCCACCATGCCCGGCCTGAAGGGGAGTTCTTGCCTCACAGGCAATTTAGGATGAAAAGCTGAGTCCTGCTGTATTCTGTGTAGACTCTGACTATAGAAAGAGATATGCAACCTTGGCTACTCCTCTGCTGTGATTGCAATTGTACAGGTTGGAACTTTTAGAAGAAATCTCTTCCCCCTTCCTTTCACCTCTCTGTTCCTAATAGGAGACTGACTTGTGTCCTGGTAGCTCCATGACCTTGAATTTGTTGCACAGCTATCAAGGGTTATGCTCCACAGCTTGATCTCAGTGCTTTTGGGATGGGTTAGGTTATCCATGTGTGGTCTTTGATGGATTGTGATAGAATGTACTGCTGTCTTGGACTGTCTTGAGTATTTTTTGTTTTTCAGAGAGAGCAGGAGATTCGGATGGGTCAGATGGCTATGGGAGGTAAGGACTTAGGAGGTTAATGGCTCTAATTTCCTTTTTTGTTTGGTCCCTGGTGAACTGTGTAGCTTCTGCTACCTACTTTAAGGGAGTGACGTGCATGTCTTGGCCCAGAGGTCTTGTTGAATTGTTTCCTTTGTTATGGAAAGAGACTAACAGTCTCTCTCCCTTGTACTGATCACACTACTCTGCTTTAGGTGCTATGGGCATAAACAACAGAGGTGCCATGCCCCCTGCTCCTGTGCCAGCTGGTACCCCAGCTCCTCCAGGACCTGCCACTATGATGCCGGATGGAACTTTGGGATTGGTAATAAACTGCCGGGCCCTACAGTAACTCTAAATGGTGGTAGGAGAACAGGCATTGTTTTCACAGCCCCTAGGCCTACCTCAATTTGCTACAGTTAGCAGTCTTTTTTTTTTTTTTTTTTTTTTTGGAGATAAGAGTTTTGCTCTTGTTCCAGGCTGGAGTGCAATGGCGCAATCTTGGCTCACTGCAACTGCCGCCTCCCAGGTTTAAGCGACTCTCCTGTAGCTGGGATTACAGGCGCGTGCCACCATGTCCAGCCAATTTTGTATTTTAGAGGCAAGGTTTCACCATGTTCGTCAGGCTGGTCTCAAACTCCTGACATCAGATGATCCGCCCACCTCAGCCTCCGAAAGTGCTGGGATTACAGGCGTAAGCCCCACTGTGCCTGGCCCAGATAGCAGTCTTTAGGACTGCTGATATCCATTAAATGTAACCTCAAGATCTTTATTTTTGAATCTTGAGCAAACTCGGTCTCTATACTTAACCTAGGAGTTAAGTAAATGCCACTGTCTGACTGGCCAGTCTGACTGTGTAGTTGCTACTATGGGTGACAGGTTGTGTTTTGGAGGGAAGTCAATGCAGGGTAGGCATTATCACATAAAATAGTTGTGAATCCAAATACTTCATGGCTCCTGCAATCCTGAGGTTGCTTTGGTTGTGGTGTTAAAAATTGATCATGCCCGTTTCCCGGTCAGGGAACCAAAAGAAAAAAATTGATAATGCCAAAACTGGATAGTTTTTTGAGACAGAGTTTTCATTCTTGTCGCTCAGGCTGGAGTACAATGGTGCAATCTGGGCTTACTGCAACCTCCGCCTCCTGGGTTCAAGTGATTCTCCTGCCGTAGCCTACTGAGTAGCTGGGATTACACGCATGTGCCACCATACCCAGCCAAAACTGGATATTTTAAGATAGCCTGCCCTTGTGTAGATACTTAGCTCAGGAAAAAGGATTTGGCTATAACAGCTAACCTAGGAATTTAGGATTGTATGTGATGTTGCTTAGTCATTAGTGGCTAAAAAGTTAAAGGTAAGATGATTGGTTGCCGGGCGCGGTGGCTCACACCTGTAATCCCAGCACTTTGGGAGGCCGAGGCGGGTGGATCACGAGGTCAAGACCATCCTGGTCAAAATGGTGAAACCCCGTCTCTACTAAAACTACAAAAAACTAGCTGGGCATGGTGGCACGTGCCTGTAATCCCAGCTACTCAGGAGGCTGAGGCAGGAGAATTGCCTGAACCCAGGAGGCGGAGGTTGCGGTGAGCCAAGATCGCGCCATTGCACTCCAGCCTGGGCAACAAGAGCGAAACTCCGACTCAAAAAAAAAAAAAAAAAAAAAAAAGATGATTGGTTAAGTCCCTAATTCAGACAACCTTTTGGGGTTATCCTCTAAACAGACTTGATCACTCACTCCTGCCATCAGGATCCTTGAATAGTTGAATGGAAATGGCCTCCAATGGAGGTACTATAGGTAGGTGGGAAGCTTAGAACAATGACTCTTACAATATTGCTCTTTTTTTTCTCTTTAAGACCCCACCAACAACTGAGCGCTTTGGTCAGGCTGCTACAATGGAAGGAATTGGGGCAATTGGTGGAACTCCTCCTGCATTCAACCGTGCAGCTCCTGGAGCTGAATTCGCTCCAAACAAACGTCGCCGATACTAATAAAGTTGCAGTGTCTAGTTTCTCAAAACCCTTAAAAGAAGGACCCTTTTTGGACTAGCCAGAATTCTACCCTGGAAAAGTGTTAGGGATTCCTTCCAATAGTTAGATCTACCCTACCTGTACTATAGGGAGTATGCTGGGGCAGAGGGCAAGGGAGGGGTGGTATAAACAAATCGTGTGGTATAATGTTTAATCAGTTCTGTGTGGTGCATTCCTGAAGTCTCAGATGTGATTGTTGAGCCCCTGGGGAAATCATGGCAAAGTGGATACAGTTAGAGCTCATTGATCTTGATCATTCCGGGGTTTTTTTTGTTTGTTTTTTGTTTTTTTGTCCATCTTGTTTCATTTGCTTGCTTCCCGCCCACCTGGAGACAGAGTCTCTGTCACCCAGGCTGGAGTGCAGTGGTGCGATCTTGGCTCACTGCAACCTCCGCCTCCCGAGTTCATTTGTCCAGGCTGGTCTTGAACTCCTGACCTCGTGATCCACCTTCCTCAGCCTCCCAAAGTGCTGGGATTACAGGCGTGAGCTACTGTGCCCAGCCTCATTTGCTTTCTTATCCTTAACACTCCCCCAGCCCCAGAGAAACTGCCACATACACCACAAAAACCAAACATCCCCCAATGACAGCCCCATTGCTCCATTCACTCCCAGGTGAGAATTCAGGCAGTCCACAAAGGTCACAGGCAACGAACATACGGTTGTGTTATATCCCATATATTACCCCTTCATGTCCTAAAGAAGACATTTTCTCTTAGAGATTTTCATTTTAGTATATCTTTTAAAAAAAAAAAAATTTTGTGTTAACTTGCCTCCATCTTTTTCTTGGGTGAGGATGCCCAGGAATGACCCTTTTGTGTCTATGTTACTGTTGACAGCTTTTCTTGATAGGCCTAGTATAATCTTGGGAACAGGGTTGCTGTATACTGAAAGTCTGACAGTAGCTCTTAGATTCGCCTATCTTAAGTAGTCACGCTGTGCATTTTTTTCCATCAGTGTACCGTGTTTGATTTGTCTGATAAATTTGGAGTTTTTCTGAGAAATGGAGCAGTAATGCAGCATCAACTTATTAAAATACATTTTAAGCCTTTTAATTTTCTGTGCTGTTTTTGAAGGGGAAGGGAGGGAGGAGAGTTACCTTAGGTGATGAGCAGTAGGCTCTATAAGGGGAATCCTTTATGACTGATTGCAGTATTAATCTAGACAGACATGAGGTGGGGATGAGATGTGTAAAATGACTCAAGTGGTTGGCAGGGACTAGTGCTGTTGACACTACATGGAAGTAATAATGGAGGAAAGTTGCCCCTTTGAAAGAAAATGGGCTCAACTCTCATTGAGCTAGGGGTGGGGGAGGTCTCCAAATTGGTATTTGTTTATGAGCAGCTGCTGCTATGTCCAAGGCTTGGAATTGGCATGGTGAATCTAAAACTGTCTCAGTAGTGGTGAGCTGACCTCACCCAAGTTGCAAGCCCTACTCTGCCTGATCCTTTTTTCCTGAGCCTCAGAGCTAAAATGCTCCTGAGCTCTTTCCTATTGGCTGGGAAGACCAGTTGAAGTTCCCTTGCCCATGTTAGGAGGTGTACGCCTCCTGAACTAAAGATAGAAACAGCTGGCCCTTCAGGCAGCTAAAAGCCTCCAGACTAAGAGGTGTTTCCCCATTCGGCAGCCAGACTCCTTGAAATACCCTTTTAGTAATCCTACCAACGCTTCCATGTCTCTACTCTGCCGTAACAAAGGCTGTGGGCAGCACTTTGACCCTAATACCAACCTTCCTGGTGAGTAAATAATCCTGACCTGACCAGGGGCTCTGTGTGGGTATTGGGGAGTGGTCAGCTGGGGGGCAGTATGTTTGAGGAGCAGGGAAAGTAACTACCTGCCCTAGTTTAATTGGTCTGAGTGGTCTTCAGCCTTTGCTGGGTTTTTTTTTTTCCACATTATATGGAAAGAAACCATAAACATAAACCCAGGGAAGAAGTGAGAAATGATACTTTGTATAGTTATCTTCCCTTCCTTGATAACTTGTGCTGATGTCTACAGATTCCTGTTGCCATCACCCTGGGGTCCCAGTCTTCCATGATGCACTTAAGGTGAGGAATAGGTGACGGGGGTTAGCAAGAGCATTTCCCAGAAGAGATACCTAGGAAGCTAAGCTGATCTGGGTCTCTCGTTATCAGGGTTGGTCCTGCTGCCGAAAGCGAACTGTAGATTTCTCTGAGTTCTTAAACATCAAGGTAAATTATTTACGTACTTGGATTCTGCCCCCAATAGAAGGATTCTATTCCTAATCCTTATCTCCTTATCTATACTAGGGCTGTACTATGGGACCACACTGTGCTGAGAAGCTTCCTGAGGCCCCTCAACCTGAAGGCCCTGCTACAAGCAGTTCACTTCAGGAGCAAAAACCTCTGAATGTGATTCCAAAGTCAGCAGAGACCTTGCGCCGGGAGAGGCCCAAGTAAAGAGGAGGAGGCCCCTGGACTTTTCCTATTTTCATGCAGCTTCCTAGGAGTGATTAATGGGTTATTGGGTCATTGAGGATTGGGAACTAGAGACCAGGGATGTGAGGAGGGCCAGTTGTCAGGGTTTGGATGGTGTATATCCTGTGCCTTAGGGGAAATTTGTGTCTGGAAATAATGCCCTTTCCTCTAAAGCGGTATGGGATGATGGGATAGAGATCTGAATCAACAGAGTAGATAGCCCCTCACAAATACATCCTTAGTGTATAACAAAAGGGATTGTTAGAATGACTTTTTTCTTTTTCTAGAAAATAACTTTAAGATAAATCTCACATCAAGAAAAAGATGTATTATTGGCAGCCGGGAGACTGCAGAGAAAAATTTTGTGGGAATAATATGAGCAACTTCTGGAAGTCATATTAGGTCCACAATTAGATAAAAAGGAAGAGGATATGGCTCAGTTCTGCAGAGCTGAGGTTTAGAGCAACTGAGTATATGGGCAAGAGAAGTGTTGGGGATTTCTCTAGGGTTCAGGTATTTGGGAGGTCCACAGAGATGAAAATTGGCAATGGGGTTGCTACCCAACCTCTCCAACTCTGCCTCACTTTCACCAGGCTTCTTCAATTCCATTACCATCGGTGGGAGTGTTGGAGCTGGCAATCATAGCTAATGGGTCAGAACTAAATCACCACCCATAATCCTTAGGTCAGAGTTGCCTCTGAAGCTGCTGCCGCTAAATATATCCCAAGCCCTGGAAATGGCATTGGAACAGAAGGAATTAGACCAGGAACCTGGGGCAGGTAGGTGGGTCTTTAGCAGGATCAACTTCATAGACTGGAATTCAGTGGGATCAACTTCATAGACTGGAATTTAGTGGAAGTGGCAATTGAGTAGGGGGATGGATAAGTTCCTGACTCTGTTTCCCTTGCCCAGGACTTGACAGTAATCTGATTCGAACTGGTTCCAGCTGCCAGAACCCAGGATGTGATGCTGTGAGTGAGAGTTTTAAGGGGCTCAAGCACATGGCTGAGAGATGACTGGGTATAGATACAAGGCTAAGTAGAGTATACCTTAGAATGACCTGGTTCTCCTTTATCCTTCTTAGGTTTACCAAGGCCCTGAGAGTGATGCTACTCCATGTACCTACCACCCAGGAGCACCCCGATTCCATGAGGGGTGAGGGAGGGGACTGGGTGGGCTATGAGACAGATTTCTCCTAATATTTGGTCATAAGATGGGATTGGGAGTGAGAGAATTCAGTTGAATTATCTTCCTACTTCAGGATGAAGTCTTGGAGCTGTTGTGGCATCCAGACCCTGGATTTTGGGGCATTCTTGGCACAGCCAGGGTGCAGAGTTGGTAGACATGACTGGGGGAAGCAGGTGAGCCCCAGCTTTCCTGAACTCTTGATTAGAACCCAATCTCAGAGGTAAATTCTCCTCCCTCTCTGTACCATATGGCCAAGCTCCCTATCTTCTCCCTTTAGTACAGACCAAATAAGATTCTGTTCCTTATCCCTCAACAGCCCAGAGTCTTTGCAATATGAGGTTGTGTTAATCTTTTTGAGACTCTCTGTCTCTTCTCCATATGCATCGTGAGAACTCCTCCTTGGGTTAAGAATTTATTCTTACCACCTTCATTTTACATCTTCTCTTTAGCTGCCAGCATCTTGCCGCCATGATTGGCACCAGACAGATTCCTTAGTAGTGGTGACTGTATATGGCCAGATTCCGCTTCCTGCGTTTAACTGGGTGAAGGCCAGTCAAACTGAGGTGAGCAATGATCTGATGTTGGATGGGATAGTGAATTGGGTGATACTGCAATCTCACAGGCAGAGTTGCCATATGCTGCTAACCTGTAGGCTCTATAGTCGCCTATAGAAAGGAGAGCTATTAGGTCAGGGCTGTCTGGCTGACCTGTGGATCACACCTCTGACCTGGTTATCTGTTGTAATGACCTGTTCTGACCTTCTGGGTTTGTTACTACCCCTGTAATTCTTTTCTCTCAGCTTCATGTCCACATCGTCTTTGATGGTAACCGTGTGTTCCAAGCACAGATGAAGCTCTGGGGGGTAAGTGAAGACCAGGGGGCACAGAAGGGGAAGGCAGATGGGGTGAAAGAGAGGCTAGACTGGAATAGAGGGTGTCTTGAGAGAAGGAGTTGTAGTGGGAAAATTGAGGTTTTCTCTTCATTTGCTTTAATTTTCTTTCTCTCCTGCTCTTCTCACTTCCCTCTCTTTGCCTCCTTTCTGCCTTCTCCCTTTTCTTCTCTCATTTCTTTCCTTTCTTTCCCTTATTATATTGTCTTTTTCCTCCCTTATCTTTTTTCTTGCCTTATTTTATTTATTTATTTATTTATTTTTAGAGACGGGGTTTCTCCATGTTGGCCAGGCTGGTCTTGAACTCTGGACCTCAGGTGATCCACCCGCCTTGGCCTCCCAAAGTGCTGGGATTATAGGCGTGAGCCACCACGCCCAGCATTGACTTAGTTTTTAATTATTTTTTAAATTGTACTTTAAGTTCTGAGGTACATGTGCAGATCTTGCAGGATTGTTGCATAGGTACACACATGCCATGGTGGTTTGCTGCCTCCATCCCCCTGTCACCTACATCAGGCATTTCTCCCAATGTTATCCCTCCTCACCCCCCACGCTGTCCCTCCCCTAACCCCCCCATCCCCCAACAGACCCCAGTGTGTGATGTTCCCCTCCCTGTGCCCATGCGTTCTTACTGTTCAACACCTGCCTATGAGTGAGAACATTTGGTGTTTGGTTTTCTGTTCTTGTGTCAGTTTGCTGAGAATGATGGTTTCCAGATTCATCCATATCCCTACAAAGGACATGAACTCATCCTTTTTTAATGGCTGCATAATATTCCATGGTATATATGTGCCACATTTTCTTTATCCAGTCTATCATTGATTCTTGCCTTATTTTAAAAAAAAATTTCTCTCTCATTTGTCACCACTCCACCCTGACCCTTTGATTTCCTCATTCTCTCTTCTGTTTTCCTTTGCTCCTCCTCAGGTCATAAACGTGGAGCAGAGCTCTGTCTCCTTGATGCCATCTCGGGTTGAAATCTCCCTGGTCAAGGCTGACCCAGGATCCTGGGCCCAGCTGGAGCACCCTGATGCACTAGCTGAGAAGGCTAGGGCAGGGGTTGTGTTAGAGATGGATGAGGAAGAATCTGACGATTCAGATGATGATCTGAGCTGGACAGAGGAGGAGGAAGAGGAGGAAGCAATGGGGGAATAGTGACACCAGACAGTTCAGTGCCTAGATAGGACCTCAATGATTCCCTTATAATCTTAGAGACCAGGATATTGTTGGCCATGTGGTATCATTGAGCAGCAGGAGGCTGAAGGAGGGGAGAACAAAACTGTCTAAACCATGCTGTTTTTTCCCTTAAATAAATCTTGTATTCTTCAGTTTTACATAGTGTCATTCTCTCACCTCACTATCGAAGATTGTATTTATTACCCCCATTGTGTGTTCAATATACATTGTGAAAACAAGCACATGCATGTTCAATCTATTCCTCACGACCACCAGGTATTTACTGAGTACTTCCCATGTGCCCAGTTATGTGTTAGATGGTTTATAAATACCTGAAAAACAGAGGACTTACTCATTTCTCTCAACAAAGTAATAACCTGGCTGACAAGCCAAGGCCGATCTACATGAAATAATGATAAACATTATCAGATAGTTTAACTGAGTGCTAAATTGTGCAGTACAGTTTTTAAGAGCTGTAGGAGTTGAAAGAATGGGAAGGTTAATGTAGACAGCAGTAAAAAGGGAAGACTCCATGGAAGAAGTACATTTTTTTTTTTTTTGAGATGAAGTCTTGCTCTGTCACCCAGGGTGGAGTACAGTGGCATGATCTCAGCTCACTGCAGCCTCCGCCTCCCAGGTTCAAGCGATTATCCTGCCTCAGCTTCCTGAGTAGGTAGGATTACAGGCACCTGCCACCACGCAGGCTAATTTTTTGTATTTTTAGTAGAGACAGGGTTTCCCCATGTTGGCCAGGCTGGTCTTGAACTCCTGACCTCAGGTGATCCACCTGCCTCGGCTTCTCAAACTGCTGGGATTACAGTTGTGAGCCACCACTTCCGGTGGTACGTTATTATTATTATTACTTTTCCGAGACAGAGTTTCACTTTGTTGTCCAGGCTGGGGTGCAGTGGTGCAATCTTGGCTCACTGTAACCTCTGCCTCCCAGGTTCAGGCAATTCTCATGCCTCAGCTTCCTGAGTAGTTGGGATTACAGGCACCCTCCAGCACGCCCAGCTGATTTTTTGTATTTTAGCAGAGACGGAGTTTCACCATCTTGCCTAGGCTGATCTCGAACTCCTGAGCTCAGGCAGTCCACCTGTCTTGGCCTCCCAAAGTGCTGGGATTAGAGGTGTGAGCCTTCATGCTCAGCCTGGTACAATATTTTTTACTGCTTTGTTGAGATACAATTCACATACCACACAATTTATCCATTTAAATTGTAAAATGAGTGTTATTATTATTTTTGAGATGAGGCCTGTAGTGCAGTGGTGCCATTTCAGCTCACTGCAACTTCCACCCCACAGGTTCAAGAGATCCTCCTACCCCAGCTACCCGAGCAGCTGGGACCACAGGTGTGTGTTACCACCACGCTTAGTTAATTTTTTGTATTTTTGGTAGAAACAGGATTTCCCCATGTTGCCCAGGCTGTTTTCAAACCGAGCTCAAACGATCTGCCTGTCTCAACCTCCCAAAGTGCTGTGTTTACAGGTATGAGCCACCATGCCTGGCCTGTTATTTTTAATATACACACAGAGTTGTGAACCACATCAATTTTAGGACACTGTTATCACTCCACAAAAAACTCCATACCCATTAGCAGTCATTCTAAATTTCCTCTCAAATGTACAGTCCTAGGCAGCCAATAATCCACTACTTTCTTCTGTTATGAATTTACATATTCTGGACATTACACATAAATGCAATCACACAATATATGGTCTTTGTTTTTTTTGAGATAGTGTCTCACTGTATTGCCCAGATTAGGGTGCTGTGGCACCATCTCGGCTCACTTGGTTTCCCTAATGGTGTATGATGTTGAGCATCTTTTTTTTTTTTGAGACAGGGTCTCACTCTGTCACCCAGGCTAGAGTGTAGTGGCGCAATCTCTGCTCTGCTCTCCGCAACCTCCGCCTCCTGAGTTCAAGCGATTCTCCTGCCTCAGCCTCCCAATAGCTGGGATTACAGGCATGTACCACCATGCCCAGCTAATTTTTATATTTTTAGTAGAGACGGGGTTTCACCATGTTGGCCAGGCTGCCTTGGCCTTCCAAAGTGCAGGGATTACAGGCATGAGCCGTTGCACCTGACCGATGTTTAGCATCGTTACATGTGTTTATTGGCCATTTAGGTACTTTATTTTGAGAAATGTGTATTCAAATCCGTTGTCCATTTGTTAATTGACTAATACGTCTTTTTGTTATTGAGTTGTTAACAGTTCTTAATATATTCTGGAGATAAGTCTCTTTTCAGATATGTGATTTGCAAATACCTTCTTTTATTTTATGGATTGTCTGCCTTTGGTATCCTTTGATACACAAAAGTTTAATTTCTTTTTAATTTTTTTTGTTTCAAAACTTTAATGAAGTACAGTTTTTACAATTTAAATTTCATATTAATTTAATTTAATTTTTTTTGAGATGGAGTCTCGCTCTGCCACCAGGCTGGAGTGTAGTGGCACAATCTCAGCTCACTGCAACCTCCGCCTCCCGGGCTCAAGTGATTCTCCTGCCTCAGCCTCCCGAGTAGCTAGGACTACAGGTGTGTGTCACCACGCCCAGTTAATCTGAACTGCAGTTTACTTTTTTGTTTGGTTGCTTATGCTTTTGATGTCCTATCTAAGAAACGATTAATCCAATGTCATGAACTTTTGTTCCTATGTTTTCTTCTAAGTGTTACATAGTTTTAGCTCTTACATTTAGGTCATTGATTCATTTTGAATTAGTTTGTATGTGATGTGAAGTAGGGGTCCAACCTTATGCTTTTGCTTAGGGATATCCAGTTGTCTCAGCACCATTTGTTGAAAAGACTATTCTTTCCCCATTGAATTGTCTTGGTACCCTAGTTGAAAATTAACTGACCATAACTGTGAAGGTTAAAAAGTCCAAGGCCAGGTGCGGTGTCACACACCTGTAATCCCAGCACTTTGGGAAGCTGAGGGGGGTGGATCACCTGAGGTCAGAAGTTCAAGACCAGCCTGACTAACATGCTGAAACCCTGTCTCTACTAAAAAAAAAAAAAAAAAATAGCCGGGCGTGGTGGCACATGCCTCTAATCCAAGCTACTTGGAGGCTGAGACAGAAGAATTGCTTGATCCTGGGAGGCAGAGGTTGCAGTGAGCTGAGATCGCACCATTGCACTCCAGCCTGGGCAATGAAAGCAAAAAAAAGAAGTCCAGTTGACCCTTGAACAATGCAAGGTTGGGGCACTGACTCCCCATGCATTCAACTTCTTTTTTAAATTATTCATTTATTTATAGACAGAGTCTCACTCTGTTGCCCAGGCTGGAATGCAGTGGCATGATCTCGGCTCACTGCAACCTCCACCTCCTAAATTCCACCGATTCGCATGCCTCCCTCGCCTTCCAAGTAGCTGGGATTATAGGCATGCGCCACCACGCCTGGCTAATTTTTTGTATTTTTAGTACAGGCTGGGTTTCACAATGTTTCCCAGGCTGGTCTCAAACTCCTGACCTCAAGTGAGCCTCCCACCTCAGCCTGCCAAAGTGCTGCGATTAGAGGTGTGAGCTACCACACCTAGCCACCACATAGTCGACTACTTTTTTTTTTTTTTTTTTTTAAGACAGTCTTTCTCTTTGCCCCGGCTACAGTGCAGTGGCGCGGTCTCCGCTCACTGCAACCTCTGCCTCCGGGGTTCAAGTGATTCTCCTGCCTCAGCCTCCTGAGTAGCTGGGATTACAGGTGCCCACTACCATGCCCAGCTAATTTTTGGGTTTTTTTTTTTTGGTAGAGATGGGGTTTCACTGCGTTGGCCAGGCTGGTCTCAAACTCCTGACCTCGTGATCCACCCACCTTGGCCTCCCAAAGTGCTGGGATACAAGCGTGAGTTGCTGTGCCCAGCCCATAGTTGACTTTTGACTTCCCAAAAACTTAACTACTAATAGCCTACTATTGACCAGAAGCCTTACCAATAACATACAGAGTCAGTTAACACATATGTTCAATGTTATATGTATTATATACTGCATTCTTACAATAAAGTAGGCTAGAGAAAAGAAAATGTTATTAAGAAAATCACAAGGAAAGAAAAAAGGCCTGGCACGGTGGTTCACGCCTGTAATCCTAGCATTTTGGGAGGCCAAGGCGGGTGAATCATCTGAGTTCAGGAAATCGAGACCATCCTGGCTAACATGGTGAAACCTTGACTCTACTAAAAAAATACAAAATATTGGCATGGTGGCACATGCCACAGTCCATCTCAAAAAAAAGAAAAAAGAAAAAGTCATAAGGGGCTGGGTTGTAATCCTAGTACTTTGGGTGGCCGAGGTGGACAGATCACTTGTGATTAAGTTCACGACCAGCCTAGGCAACATGGTGAAATCCTGTCTCTACAAAAACATACAAAAAAATTAGCCAGGCATGGTAGCTCACACCTGTAGTCCCAGCTACTTGGGAAGGTAAGGTGGGAGGATCACCTGAGCCCAGGAGATCGAAGCTGCAGGAAGTCGTGATTGCAGCACTGCACTCCAGCCTGGGCAACAGAGTAAGGCCTTGTCTCAAAAAAAAAAAAAAAAAAAAAAAAAGCCCAGGGTGGTGGCTGATGCCTGTAATCCCAACACTTTGGGAGGCTGAGGTGGGTGTATCATGAGGTCAGGAGTTCAAGACTAGTCTGGCCAAGATGGTGAAACACCATCTCTACTAAAATACAAAAATTAGCTGGTCAGGGTGGCAGGCACCTGTAATCCCAGCTACTGGCTGAGGCAGAGAATTACCTGTACTTGGGAGGCGGAGGTTGCCGAGATTGTTCCAATCCACTCCAGCCTGGGTGACAGAGCCAGGCTTCTCTCAAAAAAAAAAAAAAAAAAAAAAAAAATCATAAGGAAGAGAAAATATATTTATTATTCATTAAGTGGAAGTGGGTTATCATAAAGTTCTTCATCCTCATTCTCTTCATATTGAGTAGGCTGAGGAGGAGGAGGAAGATATGGGGTTGATTTTGCTATCTCAGGGGTAGCAGAGTCAGAAGAAACTCCACACATAAGTGGATCCGGGCCGGGCGCGGTGGCTCAAGCCTGTAATCCCAGCACTTTGGGAGGCCGAGGCGGGTGGATCACGAGGTCAAGAGATCAAGACCATCCTGGTCAACATGGTGAAACCCCGTCTCTACTAAAAATACAAAACATTAGCCGGGCATGGTGG